TGGTGAGGTCGGTGTTTTGGGGGCCGGGATGGCGAGGGTGTGAATTGGAGGGTGAGTGTGGGGGTGGGAAAAGTTGAAAGAGAGCTTTGGAAACTATTTTCCCTCCTTTTTGTGGGGAAGTCATTTTCATCCAATTGGGGAAAAATGAGTTCATAAAGAAAATATTTTTCAAAATATTTAAGCCAACCAAAAACATGGAAAAACTGAAAAACACTCTTTCATTGCCAAACACACCCTAAGTAGAGAATCCTATATAGAAATGTAATTCTCCATAAAGAGTATCCAATCATCTACACCTATTGGAATATTACATATGCTCCAAATGTGCATCAAAATAAAAATATTCCTGACTTATGCATAGGAGTTTTTAGTTCCTCCAAATACTCTTCTAATCCTCTTTTTTCAAGTTTCCCATGTCAGAAACAAAAGTGCAACCATCCATATTACTCAGAAGGTTTTTTGATAGACAGTGATGTGAAAGTGAGAAGAAATCTATAAGATAAACGAAATGGTCAATACCACACATTCAGAGCCACTAATAACTTCTTCAGACATGAAACACAATTTGTACACACTTTTATCCATTCAGACTGATGATTTCCTCACATTTGAACAATAAAATACATTCAAATGACAGTCGTCAGAATCAACATTGCTTCAGAATGAGAAGGAAGCAAATAATCTACACTACAGATGCAACTTATAATACACTAAATAAAGAAAGCCCAAGACAAGAATGTAAATAGTAAAAGAAGGTCCATCCTTTAAAGACAATACCTTGCGATTCTTCAGCCTCAGCCCCATATCCATAGACTTCTCTTGGAGAATTTTAATATCCGAACTTATAGAACCTATCTCATCCTGGCAGATAAAACAGTGAAATATCAAGTTTTATGAAAAGAAGATACAGGCAAGTGGATCATGAGGATGTTAAATGGTTTTTCCTAAATTTCTTCCTGTTTCCTCCATGTATGATGAGAGAAAAGTGGAGACACAGAAATCCTCACAGTGATATTGCCCCCACCCCTCCCCCAAAAAAATCCAAGTCATCCCAGGATGTGAACTTTAAACAATTTTATCTGACATAGCAACAAGGTGACCTACTTGTACCACTTATCAATCATATCGTCTTGGTAATTTTAAAGCCTGATTCACTGCTGATTTTTTAAAGCAGAAAAAAATTGTCACCCACTTTGATATTGATAGAAATTAGAAAGTACCTGAAATCCACTGAGAAGAGTCTCCATTTGGGATAGGATCATGTCACAATCACGAATTTGATCATGAAGTGAGACTAGATTATCACTTTCCTTTATGTAATCCTGTTGATTTGTTAAAACAGCACGTATCATTATATGTCATATAAACAAGGGCTTTTTATTAGTATCATTATAACCAAGTTTTCAAGGCACTCACCAAGAAAACTAGCACATAAGTACGAACTAAACGCGTATATCATATCATCATTTTTTTGGACAAGTCCGTATATCATAATCATATCATCATTAAAACCAAGTTCATTAGGCTACATGAATTTGAGTTGTGACAACTAAATGCATTGCATTGGTTTCTGGAAAGAAATAGGTTTCATTAGCTCTCCCGGATCATCAGCGGTTCGACACTGACCACAGACCAACATCAAACCAAAGAAACATTTGTAAATTCTGAGGCACGTGGGAAATGAGTACAGACATGAATCTTTTATGTGTCTCGGGTTGAGCTATACATTCAACCCAGGTACGTTTAGTAAATCTTATCTGTGAACATAAGACCATTCTTTTGGAGTATAGAAATGGGGAAAGAAATGGCTCTTATTTTAAACTTGAGAACGGATGGTTAGATGCTCTCAAAAAGCATTGGAAAGAAAAAGGAGGAAGAGAGTATGTCAGAAGAAGATATAAGGGAGAAGTCAATTGTACCTGGTAAATGGAAGAGCTAGCAAAAGCTAAAGAGACTTATTGGGAAATGGTGACAAGAACACAAGGCTTTTTCCATAAAATGATGAATGCAAATAAAAGGGTGAATATGATTAAAGCATTCTGCTTGAACGGATCATGCTAGATGATGCATACAATGAAAGTAGAATTCTGGGGTTTGATGAAAAATATGTGCAGAAGAGGATTATTTTGACAGGAGACAGGAGACTCATCCGGGTGACTGAGGAAGATAATGAATGGTTGCAAAGACCTTTTCAATAGGATGAGATAGAGAAAATCAGAAAATGATAGAGGGAATGTGAAGGGAAAAGAGGCCCTGGGCTGATGGTTGTCGAAAATCATTTTCCCAAACATGCTGGCATTTGGTAAAATTCGAACTTATCAATGCAATAGAACTCTTTCCATCAAAAAGGTATTTCTGAAAGGAGATTTAATGTCACGATTATAGCATTAATTCCAAATAAGAAAAGGGCATAGAGCTAAAGGAATATAGGCCTATAAGCTTAGTGCATGGAATACATAAGATCATAACCAAAGAAATGGCGGAAAGGCTGAAAAAGATCATTGGATATTTAATATCAGAGTCCCAAATGGCTTTTGTTTGCAGGTAGGCGGAAAACCAATGGAGTAGCTTGCATGCTTGGATATGAGAATTAATTAAAAGAAACCAGGGATCATTTGGAAACTAGATACTGAGAAGGCCTATGGTCCATGGTCATTTAAACTCGCATTTCTTGATTGCTCTGCTCAGGAAGATGAATTTGGAGATAAATGGGTTATTTGGGTTCAGCTCTGCATAACAACACGTATGTTTCAGTCAAGGTGACCTTTTTCAGCTTTGTCTTCATTCTAGTAATGGAAATGTTCAGTGGAATGCTTAATTCTGCAGCGACCTTAGGATAAGTTAATGGTTTTAAAGTGAGAAGTAACAGAGATGCTGTATCTTTTTCATATATATTAAATGCTGACAATACCATGGTATTTTGTGACGCAGAGGAGAGCCAAGCAAAGTACTTGAGACAGTTTCAGGATTGCATGTAAACCTAACTAAAAGCTGTGTGTATCCAGTCAATGAGGTAGCATATTTATAGCAACTGGTCGATATTTTGTGGGGTTGCAGAATTGTTTCCTTCCCATCTACTTACTTGGATCTTCTTTAAGTCAAAACACAATCTGTTTGCTGTGTCACAGCTAGTAACTGAGAAGCTTGAAAAAAGACTATCACTTGGAAACATCAGTATTTATCTTTAGCTGGTAGAATGACTTCAATTAACAGTGTTTTGGTAGACTTCCAATTTATAATATGTCTCTTTTTCCATTGCCAAGTAAAGTGGAGAATAAAGTTAGATAAGAAAAACTTTTCACGGGAAGCTATGTTGCGCGGTCTCCAAAATGATGCCGCACCCGTATCGAATCCTCCAAAAATACACTATTTTTGGAGGATCTGACACCCATCCGGCAACATTTTCGGAGAGTCCGAGCAACATAGACTGGAAGTAAATAGTCAGAAGAAGTTTCATTCAAATCAGATGGGGGTTACAATATGAGGGCGATTAGGTATAGGAAATTTTGAAGTTGAAAAACAGAAGTTTATTATATAAAGGTTGTGGAGACACAACCAGGAAGACAGAGCATTATGGAAGAAGCTGATCCATGCTAAATATGGAAAAATGACCATTACAGCAATCCGTACATTAGAAACCTATAGACCGGATTCAAAGTAAAACCCCGACTATGCTATGTCTATAGCTGAGTTGAACGAAAATACCTTACAATAGTAGAATAAAGAGATAAAGATTTGGAAAGCGTAATGCATGATAATACTAATCATCTAAAGAGGAATAACTCGAAATTGCAAGCTATTAATACAGAAAGAAAGAATGGTGGTAATGTGTTTTAGCAAAGCAAACCTGGATAGAATCCAATTCAACTTGCCGCAAATTGTTTTCAACGCCCTTAGTGTATTCCCGCAATGTTGTACCTTTAGAGAGTATGTTTGCAACAACCTTCAACATACAAAGTAAGCAAAATTTAGACCCAATACTAGTGTCCCTAAACCTATCCCTCAAAAGGGGAATAAAAATTGTACTAAATTGTAACAAATATCAAACTTTAATCCAATAAAATTCTAGCTATTATTAAGAATGAAGTAACATAAGTGTATGACAATTCTTACATCATCAGTTTTACATTCTTGTAACTCTTCCTCAAGTCCCTCAAGGGATATATCATCGCTGGAGAAGAAAAACAATATGTCCTTAATTGCCTTATATATAGAGGATCAAGAATTAAAAAATAACAAGCATTATAGCAAAATTAGCAAACCTGGCAGTTTCATCCTCGACATTCAAATCGCCAACGAAGGATCCCAAATCCAAGAAGGATTTCGGCCCATTATTTGCATCGGCCTAAAATCCACAGATGTAAGGCGACACAAAGATATGAAAATGTGCGCATAATAAAAGCGTGAAACTTTCTGGGGAAAAATGAGAAGAGAAGTTACCGATGTGCGGGTAGTCACCTCTGCCATAGCAAGTTGAGCAATTTTAACAACCTTTCAACTGATCTACAGAGTGAAGCTATCTAAGATTGAGCTAGATCAAGCATTTCTATAATCACAAATAAGAAGTTCCCCTGACGCTGTCCTGGTGACGATCTAGGGGATGGTCTTTAGAGTTCAACCAGAGTGTTTCCGACTTCTTTATGTCCAGGGAAGGGTACAAACTGTACTGCGTCCAGTACACGTTTTCAATTCAAATACAGGTAAATCGAATGTTACCACGGGTGATTTTGTCTCCAAACCAAGTTAATTGCCAACAACACCCTGCTATAATTCATCAATACAACAACAACCGGTATAGCTTTTTCGATAGAGTATCGACTCCCTCCCTCCAAAAACTAACACCTTGCTCTTAATTTGAACTTATAATCTCTTGATCGTAATTGATTGTAAGTGGAGAGTGTTTACCACTAGAGCAACTCACTCTTCTCTAAAATTCATCAATCTATTGATAAAAATAAAATGATATCAATAGAATGATAAGATAATAGATATATTTTCTATTTACTAGTCGTACCCGTACTTCATTTTGATGAATATAAAATTTTAAAAGAATTGCATAAATTTTATATTAAAATTTATATTCGAGTTATTTACAAAAAAAGTTTAAAGAAAAAGATATATAAGTTAGAAAATGATGATTATTGATCTTATCACTTTGATTACTTAATAAAATAAGAAACTCTGCCCTACAGAAGTCTTATATTTTCCTATACATATGCAATATTTTTCTATTTTCAGTTTGTACATAATATATTTTTTTAAGACTCATATATATATATATATAGAGAGAGAGAATATTTATATATGTTCCTTATTTAATCATACAAGTAAGCCTACATAAGTATTCATCATGTATACGGGTAGAACCGAGGCTAAGGAGCACCCCGATTTCCCGGTGAGGCAAACGAAGCAAGGACATGACTGCAAGAAATCGGAATCGAAGCCAGGAGCCTCTTATATCAAGGCCCGCGCAAAATACTTGCCCTCGGAGCCATCGAGACCATGCCCTCCGGGTCCGGTTCGAGTTCCAAGACCTCGGAGAGCATTACCAAGCGACTGCGCACGATTAACAAATGGACGTGATATCTGTGTTCAATCGGATATCACTGCGTGAATCTCGACCCGTATCGGGAGTAGATCAGGGATTAGCGAAAAGGAAGCTTTTACCATTTTTAGAATCGTACTTAGGGTAAAACTCCCCTACTATATAAAGGCGAAGCTGATTATTCACTAGGCACACTGTAACACGCATATCAAGACAATATACATTTGTTTTCTCTACTTCTAAAAGTTATTCAAAGTTCTTAATTATGTTCATAGTTCTTCATAAGTGTTTGGCTCTGAACCGAAGGCAGATTACTTGTTAAGCTTATAACCGATCCCGGACACAATATTACTATTGGTTTGGCTGTTTATTCTGTCTTTAATTTGCTTATCTAACGTCATTAATCACTTGTATTGAATTATTCCATACATCCTTAAAACCGCGTATAAATTCAATTGTTATCCATTTTTAAAGGTGAACAGTTTGACGTCCACCGTGGGGCTAAGAATAATAGTGGTAATTTGATACAAATTTCTATAATACACTATGTTTTACGCTTGTTCTTTGAGATTTTAATTTCGGGTCAACTTAAGAATGTCAAACTCTCAATTTGCTCACTTGAACGTTGATGTTGAGTCTGACCACCATGGTGAAAACAACAATATAGTACCTAGAAACGAGGTGCCCCTTGCTGACCCCAACAGAGTCCTAGTCGCGGACCCAATCGATGCCAACTCAATGTGTCCATCGATGCAAGCCTGCCGACTGACCCCGAGAACAGCATTCGCGGAGGAGCCCGATCAATAGCTCGAGGTACGCACGACGGTGGAGGCGGCAGGATCAATCTGTGGGTGATCTTCGAAATGTTACAACCTCAACAGGCGGCGATAGCCCAACTGTAGAACCAAAGTCGCGCCCCCAGTAGAGTTAAGCCTGAACCATCCCTGGAAAACACCCGAAGAAATGAACAAGTCACGGAAAGGCTGGGTGACGCTGAGCCCGGGACCAACCCCGAAATAATAAAGATGCTTAAGGAACTGACAAAGCGGGTGGAATCGGGGGGGAGAGGGGGGAGGAAGAAAATTGAGGCCAAAGACAAAAAAGTGGAGATCTATAACTCCAGAGTTGATCAAATCCTAGGAGCGCCTCCAATATTGAAAGGCCTGGACTCCAAGAAATTATCCAAAAACCTTTCCCCCCGAGCGCGGCACCGAAGCCAATCCCGAAGAAGTTCCATATGCCCGAAATTCCAAAGTATAATGGAACCACGGATCCAAATAAATACGTGACCTCCTACACGTGTGCCATCAAGGGAAACGACTTAGAAGATGACGAAATTGAGTCAGTTTTGCTAAAAAAGTTCGGAGAAATCCTGTCAAAAGGAGCAAAGATATGGTATCACAACTTACCCCCTAATTATATTGATTCGTTTGCTATACTTGCATATTCCTTTGTAAAATCGCATGTCGCGGCCATTAAGGTCGAGACAAAAATATCGGACCTTTTCAAAGTAAAACAAAGAGATAACGAAATGCTCAAGGAATTCGTGTCGAGATTTCAAATGGAACGAATGGACCTGCCTCCGGTCGCGGACGATTGGGTCGTTCAGGCGTTTACTCAAGGACTCAACCCCTAAAGCTCCTTGGCTTCACATCAACTGAAACAGAATTTGATGGAATACCCGGCGGTAACTTGGGACGACGTCCATAACATGTACCAATCAAAAATCAGAGTCGAGGACAATCAGCTTGGGCCCCCCTCCAGGTCCGTTTATCCCATCAGAACTAATGACAGGTCTAAGAGAGTCGTCGATCATGAACCAAGACCGAACAGAGATCGGTATCAACCGTATAGCGGAGATCGAAGGGGTAGAGGATCTGGGCATAACCCTACGAGGAATGAAAAAATAAACGATCGATGCCACAATAGCCGGGGACTCATGAGCAAAAACGGTTTCGACAGGCCACTCGGGGCCAGAGAGGCACCAAGATTATCGGAATATAACTTCAATGTTGATGCGGCCAGCATCGTATCTTCCATCAGGTGCATCAAAGATACTAAGTGGACTCGGCCATTGCAGTCCGACCCTAACCAAAGAGATCCTAACCTGATATGTAAGTATCATGGCACTCATGGCCACATGACCAAAGACTGCTGACAACAAAGAGAAGAAGTGTCCCGGTTATTCAATAATGAACACGTCCGGGAATTTCTGAGTGATCGAGCCAAAAATCACTTCAGGAATAGGGACCCCAACAAACAGACCGAACAAGAGGAACCTCAGCACGTCATTAACATGATCATTGGTGGAGTCGACGTCCTCCAAGGACCAATGCTAAAGCGTACTAAGGTGTCGTAAGGTAAAAACGAACCCGGGATTATATCCCGAAAGGGACCATTTCTTTCAACGATGAGGACGCCGAAGGCATAGTTCAACCACATAATGATGCACTGGTAATATCTATACTCATAAATAAATCTCGAGTTAAGCGTGTGTTGATTGTTCCAGGTAGCTCGGCCAATATCATCAGATCAATGATCGTAGAGCAGTTGGGTCTACAAAACCAAATAGTGCCGACAGTCCGGATTTTGAACGGATTTAACATGGCATACGAAAATACTAAAGAGGAAATAACCTTACTGGTGAACACAGTCGGGACCATTCAGGAAATAAAATTCTATGTGATCGAAGGGGATATGAGATATAATGCTCTATTCGGAAGACCATGGATTCACAACATGAGGGCAGTACCCTCGACACTACACCAGGTACTGAAGTTCCCCACACCGGGAAAAATCAAGACGATTTACGGGGAGCAGCCGGCCGCAAAAGAAATGTTCGTAGTCTATAAGGTGATCCCGATGTCGGCACTCTCAACATCAAAGAACACAAAGCCGGTTAGGAAGGAAGAACCTAAATAGCAATCACCGATATTGGCCCCGATCGAACCGGAGAAGCAAGAAGCAGACGAGGATGATGATTACGGAATCCCTAGGTCATTCGTCACCCCTGATGATTCTAATGCCACAAAATCAACGGTCGAGCAGCTGGAGCAAGTCATATTGATCGAACATTTACCCGATGAGAAGGTATACCTGGGCACGGGATTAACTCCTGAGCTCAGGAAAAAACTCATTGAATTCCTTATAGCTAACATAGATTATTTCGCTTGGTCCCATCTTGATATGACAGGTATCCCGTCAGAAATAACCACCCATAAGCTGAGCTTGGATCCGAAGTTCCACCCGGTTAAACAGAAGATGAGGCCTCAATCCAAAGTCAAGCATGCATTCATCAAAGATGAGGTATCCAAACTCCTTAAAATAGGTTCCATTCGGGAAGTTAAGTACCCATATTGGTTATCTAACGTAGTGGCAGTGCCTAAAAAGAGGAATAAGTTAAGAATGTGTGTATATTACAAAGACTTGAACAAGGCATACCCTAAGGACTCTTATCCTTTGCCTAACATCGATTGCATGATCGATGCAATGGCCGGGCACGAGATATTCAGTTTTCTCGATGCCTATTCCGGGTACAACTAAATCCGGATGGACTCGAGCGATCAAGAAAAAGCTTCTTTTATCACTAAATTCGGCACCTATTGTTATAACGTAATGTCGTTCAGACTAAAGAACGTCGGTGCCACCTATCAACGCCTAGTAAACCGGATGTTCGAAGAAAAAATAGGAAAGTCAAAGAAGTTTATATTAACGACATATTAGTTAAGTCACTGCGAGCAGAAGAGCATTTGAAATATTTGCACGAAACCTTTAACATACTAAAGAGATACAACATGAAGCTTAACCCAGAACAATGCACATTCGGGGTTCGGATCCGGGAACTTCCTTAGATTCATGGTGTCCAACTGAGGGATTGAGATCAATCCCGATAAAATCAAAGCGATAGAAGACATCACTATGGTGGACATTGTCAAGGTTGTTCAGAGGCTAACCGAGTGAATAGCCGCCCTAGGCCGATTCATATCGAGGGCTTCCGATAAGATTCACCAGTTCTTCTCATTATTGAAGAAGAAGAAGAATAAATTTTCTTGAACCCCGAAATGCCAACAAGCTTCGGAAGAACTCAACCGGTACCTTTCGAATCCACCCTTGCTCCATACTCCAAAGACGGATGAGCAGTTGTACCTGTACTTAGAGGTATCCGAGGTAGCGGTAAGTGGAGTCTTAGTCCGGGTTGAGGAAG